TGCATGGCCCCCGCAGGGATGGCTGGGTTCGGGATGTCACCATAATTGGGCATGGCATTCTTCGAAGGCTCAGTCCAATCCTTGATCTCATTAGTGTTGAACACAATGACCCGCTTTTCTTCATCTTTCTGGAAGAGCTCATCCTCTTCTGGTTTCCTCTGCTTCTTACGAAAAGCTCGCTTCCGTTCCCGCTGTATGCATCCAGAGCAAATCTTAACCTCTCCACCGTCTAAAGGTTTATCATCTTCCTGTACGTCATCGACAGGATGAGGGCTCGAGCTGGAGGAACGGTGGCGCGGTTCTCCTCTTGCTCGCGCAAATGCCTTCTTCAGTTTTTCCTGATCCTGCATTGCACTCGTACAAACAAGACTTGTGTGTAGCTCTAGGGTGTCCAGAGCGCGGTCGGCCGACGCTGGCGCAAGGAATTTCGGCTTGGAGATGGTGTGACTTGGCAAGCGAATTTTCTTCACGCCGGCGGGCAACGGGAACAGAGTTAACCTGATGGGAATCTGCGTCTCCACACGCGACTTGAGAGATGTAGGATGAACGGTGAGAACATGACGCTGCGTGGTTTCCGACTTCGTGTTGCTTTGCGGGGGGGATGGTGCGAAGTTGAGGCCAAAGTTGGTAAAGTTGTTCGGAACAAAGTTCAAGTTGGAGTTCAAGGGCGAGCTGGCGTTCATATTGATACCCCCGAAGCTCTCCTCTAGGAGCGAAGAAGGTGACCGGCCAGCCCATTGGTTCATGGGTGACTTGCCTTGACTGGGTAAACCGGAGACTGCAAAAGGAGAGGGTTCTTTAGTGTGGTGGCGGAGGTATGGTGATCCCGTCGAGTGAAACTGCTAGAAAACTTTAGTAAAGGTTCTCTGTCATGGTATCGTGATTAAAAGATCTTACCGGAGAGGCGGATCGTTTTGATGCCGATGTACTGCGGAACTGTGTTCTCAAGCTCTTCTGCGATGTCGGCTGCGGAGTAGATTCAATCTTCAAGGGGCTAGGGCTACTAGCGGCACTTTCAAAATCGAAAGCTGCATCCATGGCCTTGTTACTCGACTCCAAATCTGGGAAAGCACCATCCATACTGCCTAGGGAAGAGGGGTCAAACCCAAACAGCGACTCTTCTTTGACTGAGCCTAAATCCTGGCTGAGCCAATCCTCTGACGTATACCCGAATGGCATGATATGACTTTCGCTCTGAATCGCCGATGCAGATGAGGCGACTGAAGCGTTCCGAAGATGATCCCGAGGTGACTCCGACGAGGAACTGCGGCTTGAGGCTTCTGGGGACTCCGCCGGGGAATCTGGTTTCACAAGATTTGGCTGTCGTAATGTATCTTGATCTTGGTATGGTCGCTTAAGGGACAAATCTGAGGGTGACAAACACACAGACCCCGATTCGGTGACTGTGCGGGACGAGGTGGAATGGGCGAAGAGATCGTCGAAATCCCGGCCAGCGTTTTCAGACGACATCTGCAATCGCGCAGAGTCAAGGAAGTCTAGGTTGGTATCTTGGTATGGGTTATCCATCTCGTTATCAACGACGATCGGATCCAAGGCAGGAAAAGTGGGTGAAGACGCAGCCTCCGCCGGTCCCATCCTCGAATCCCCGTCAGGAAATGTAAGTATAAAACCAAGAGCTCGAGGTCTGTCGGTGGCCTCGATAGTCTCTTGGTATGATCCCACTCCCCAGGGCGAATCCCTTCAGGTAACAATTTCGTTCGGGGCAAATAGGTACAAAGGGAGGCGATAAATGATCAATCGATTCAACACTAATATCACACACGCGCGCTGTTCAACCTCTTCCACTACCGACAATTTTTATCCATCTAAGCGAATTGCAAAGCGGTCCGTGGTCGCCGAGTTGGCAATACGGGTTGTTAACTTCCTGTGGGCGAAAGTGTTGACGGTGAGATGGGGCGTAAAGAGCGGAGACGGAGGCGCGGCGCTTTCGTAAAGGGGAAAGTGAGGGTGGGAAAACCAGACCGACACTGGAGCGGCGAGTGTCCAAGGGGCGGTAGATATCGGAGGGCAACAATACAGATAACAGTGTTTCTGCAAAGACCCAGCGCTGGAGTAGGAGATCTGGACGAAGATCCAGCGCAAAGACCCAAGGTAAGTGCACGGGGAGATGGGGACAGGGAGGGCCAGATGGCTGGTGTTATCGTGAATCAGAGTCTGTCCCGGGAGCAAATGACAACTTCGCGGTGAGCCGGGCGGGTTGAGTGCCGCTAAACCCCTTTCGACGATCAGCCACAAAAGGCTCAGAGGTCAATTAGGTTGCCAGATTTTGGTTGGCTGTCAGGGCGAAGATTAGGTAACTCCTTAGTAAGCGTTACCAGGAAACGAATGCCTCAGTCATGACTCAGGTTATCTTTCGTTGCCCCAGGAATTACAGATAGTAACGAGGATACTCTCCATTGGCAGGTCATCACATTAGATACCTTAACTTCAAAGCGTGAATTTATTTAAAATGTCTCAAAACACCAAGATAAATGCCAACACAGAAAGCATGGGCCTCCACCCACGCATGTCTCTCTTTGTTTGGCGACGGGAAGAAAATTAACCGCTCATTTGGCAGATATATATTGTTAAGAATGCCGACATCGCGCTATATAAGTTCAAGGCTTTCTCCGCATACGAGCCATTCCAGCAAGTTCTATCTAGGCAACCTTCAAAGAACTTGTTCTCGCAGGGCCAAGTCGACAAGAGCTAAGATTCAAGTGTCGTAGATCGCTTCTGCGCAGCGAATAACTAGTACTGCTTCTAGTTGTGCTATTACCACCCGGATAAAATTTCTAGAGGGAGTAGACTGTCCTTGTAACAATACTGATGATAAAGGTATGTGGACGCAGAGTAAGTGTGACTAGCATACTTTTATTATATCATGGTTGACATCATCAGAAGCAAACACGAGCATCGTTCGTTGGCAAATCATGATCTGTATATCACCTCGGCAAAAGATGCGTTCTCTACAGGAGCTGAGGTTTGGCTTCTGATACCCCATAGAGTCCGTACGCAGTAATGACAGAGCCACCTGCTTACTCAAGATGATCTTCGTCCCCCTTTACCTACCCAGAATACTCTAGTTATCGACATTACATATTACGCATGCATGTTATATAATGTCATTTGTTGAGTTCATCCGTCATACTCTTATCAACGCAAACAGATCCCTGCTGCAATTGAATGGGATAGTTTGTTTTCTGTTTGTCGTATATCTCCTTATCCGCCAGACCTTCAGTAAAGTCTTTCCGCGCGGCGAGTTAGATGCTCTCGGAGCTTTCAGTGTACGAATGACGGCACTAGATTATATGGTTATGGCCAGTTTCGCATCGATTCCATCCTAACTTGTCTGGGGTAGCGCAGGGGTTATAGGTTTCTCCGAGGCTGTGTAATGGTGTGACCGAGCCTTTGAATCAACGTGGTGGAAAAGCATCTCGAGGTAAGTCTGGACTATGAGCGTGAGGCTAGGGTTGAAGGAAGAAGGGGAAGGAGAGAGAGGAAGAAGAAAAAGAAGAAGTATGATGAGGAGGAAATAAACGCGTAGAAGTAGCAATAATAGTACTATTTTCTAGTGTCGAAGGGCCACTTCCCTAACTCAATTATTGTATAACACCGGGACGTCACCGGGTATTTCTCAATTCCGCTTAAGGAGAAGCAAAAAGCTCAAGCCAAGGAGGGGACGCCGAGGAGAAGAGAGAAAGTAGATATATCAATTTGGTAAGGAGTCCGCAACGAATTTCGAGGATGCTGTTAATGACTGCACAAAACGAGTACGAGATTCCCCCGAGGATAAGCCGGCCAAGGTTCATGGACTAACTCATTATAACCAAGTCCTTTATAACTCAGGAGTTTGAGATTGACTGCATAACGGGGAGTTTGACTGCACAGCCAGTCTCTGTAATCCCGCACATCCCGCGGATCAGGAACTCGGACGAAGGACCAGAATCAGACATATCAGTATTCTGTTGTGAAGTGTTTCACCCTATGCGTTATACGGTCCCACTCCATATATTAACAGCGTCCAGACCACCAGACCATGTCCAGCGGCATTTTCGATAAGACCAAGCCAATAATACGAGAATGGCACACGGAAGCGAAGAAAATGTCCGTTTTAAATAGAGTAAAGACTTGATTTAGCCTTTTAGGTTGTGTCAATTCCGGAGTTCACTGGATAGCCCTAATTAGAAAAAATTAGAGGTAACTGACTCGGCGGTGATCCGTGCTGGAAAAATGGACCTATCCTGCCCATAGTGGTATACTAATTGAAACTATATATAATTATTGCCAAGGATTGATGAATTGGCCCCTGCGATTTAATTTATTCATTTCCTAATCCAGCAGCCAGGCGCGTAGTACTTCAAAACCCTGCATTCGGTGGCAATGTGGTGACTGGCATGGTGCCATGCCCAAGTGATTAGAGAGGTATAGGGGGTAGGAATTACTAGTTATTCTGACTCCTTCCATCAGTACGGCAACAACATTTTTCTACCGCAGTCCACGCGGTGGGAACAACGTGATTATGAAGGAGCCAGAGACTTGACTCTTGAAACGGCCTGATTAGTACTAGTAGACGTCAAATATCAAGAGATCATCATTGAGACTCCTACAAACATTGAAAGGCACGGCATAACACGTGGGAAAAAAAAGTCCTAAATGCCGAACGAACAGTAAGTGCCCGAATGGCAAATAGAATCTCTTGGTAGCGTCACGTCCATGATTATTCCACATGGCATAGTAGAGTTTGAGTATAGGTACAGAGGAGCAGGAAATTGCATCTCGTCATACGAAGGGGGAACTTAATTCTTGGCAGTCCAGAGACCAAGTGAAAATCCCGAAGTTGAAACCTAGACTGTCAGAGGCAAGCGCCTAGGGTAGCCTGAGGAGGCCCCACGCCTCCACTCACGGCCCAGCCGCCCAGTCGGTAGCAAACCGTTAGGGTAAACGCCCGAACCCTACATAGGTTGTCTGTCTGGTATGGGTGACACTAGCTCCCAAATAGTCAATGTTCCTGGCGGAGCGTCTCGCTCTTGGACACTAAATTTCCCTGGGCGTTGGTGGACCTGCAGGCAAGTGCTTGTCTTTCATCAATCTCAGACTCTTCCACAGCACTATCGCTAATCGAGGTGAATCTCCTCCTATCGGAAAATTAGACCGGTAGTGGAGTTGGGTGCTGGACTTAATCTATGTGTAGCAGAGCTATCGACAATGAACCTTCATTAATTTCGAAGTAGTCTGGTCTGAGCGTTTGCCCAGTCTCGACATCTTGAAGACTATGACCGACAGCATTATAAAAGCAGTCATCTCGCGATGATGGTTAACGTATCCTTCTCTTCCTCATCAGCTTTACATTCCTTTCTTTCTTTAGGGTCTTGGAACCTGCCATTCTCTTCCTTCTCTTATACTGTCTTCATTGATTGAAGATCATTCTTTTCATCCCTTCCCACTTCGGTCCTTTCAAACCACGAGAAACGCTGCGCGTTGATCAGTTCAAAAATTTCCCCTATCAAAATGTCTATCGCTAAGATTGCTGGTGTCGTCCTCGGCTCGGCCGCTTTGGTCGCCGGTCACGGTTACGTCTCTGGTGCCGTCGTTGACGGACAGTACTACTCTGGATATGACATGTCCTACCACTACATGTCTGACCCCCCCAAGGTCATTGGATGGTCGACTGATGCCACCGACCTCGGATTCGTTGACGGTAGCTCATATGCCGATGCCGACATTATCTGCCACAAGAACGCCAAGAACGGCGCTATCTCTGCTGAGGTCGCTGCTGGCAAGCAGGTCGAGCTGCAGTGGACTGACTGGCCCGAGAGTCACAAGGGTCCTGTCATCACCTACCTCGCCAACTGCAACGGTGACTGCGCCACTGTCGACAAGACCCAGCTCGAGTTCTTCAAGATCGATGAGAAGGGCCTCATCAGCGGCAGTGACAACACTTGGGCTTCCGACAACCTGATCTCCAGCAACAACAGCTGGACCGTGACCATTCCCAGCAGCATTGCCGCCGGCAACTATGTTATGCGTCACGAAATCATTGCCCTTCACTCCGCGGGCAACAAGGATGGCGCTCAGAACTACCCCCAGTGTCTCAACTTCAAGGTCACCGGCGGTGGTAGCGACAAGCCCGAGGGTACCCTCGGTACTGCTCTCTACAAGGACACCGACCCTGGTATCCTGGTCAACATCTACCAGACCCTGTCCTCCTACACCATCCCCGGCCCTGCTCTCTACTCTGGCAGCTCTTCTGGCGGCTCCTCCGGCAGCTCCAGCGCCGCTCCCTCCGCTACCGCCAGTGCTTCTGCTTCTGCCACTGCTGCTCCTGTCCAGACTAGCACCGCCACCGCTTACCAGACCTCCACTGCTGTTGCCAGCGTCACTGTCACTGGCTCTGCTCCCGCTCAGACCCACGTCCAGGCCACCAGCTCTTCGGCTGCTGCTTCCACTCCCACCGCTAGCTCTGGCGCCAGCTCTGGCTCTGGATCCAGCTCCAGCTCCGGCGACCTGACCGATTACTTCAACTCTCTGAGCGCTGACGAGCTCTTGAACGTTATCAAGCAGACTCTCTCTTGGCTTGTCACCGACAAGATCCACGCTCGTGACATCTCTGCATAGATTTGCCATCGTGAAGTGGTTTCGGACCGAATAGACCTTCTTTAGACTTTATATTCGATCTTTTCACCGTTGAACTACTATTTTGCCTTGATGAGGATCCGGAATCCAACTTTGTGTGTAACTAGGAAAAATATTATACATTGCACTATTACAGTTGAATTTTCGGGTGTAGGCCAGCAAATCTTCTGGTAAAAGATTAACATAGTAGACGAAACGCATTCATTTTGTTATGCAAAATGTCAAACTCATTCCCATGTAAATCTTCGATAGAACTTCGCTGAGTTTGTTTGGTCATATTTGAGCATAATGCTAACTTGACGAGTCGCCCTCTCAAGTGGTGTTCATAGGGCAAAAAGCGACAGGTGATTGCCGATGAAAGGGGAATAGCGGCCGATTGTTACTGCGGGACAAACAATTGCATGGCTCCGTCATTTAATTCTTTTACCACCAGCTCTTTCTCCCAAGCCCTGGCCGACGGTCGCATTTGCTAGAGTGCATGGTATCGGCCAAAATATACTTGACTTTGTTGTATTTCCTAACCATTCCCTTCTCATAATTCTCCACCATGTTTAAGAAAAAGCCTACGGTGAGTAACCCCTCCCCCGCATTGCTTCGCCGAAGCCTGTCTACGGCTCTGCCATGAACGGCGCAAGAAAAGTTTCAGAGGAAATATGAGGCTGAACAGCAAGTAGATCAAGAACCTATCGCCCTTACGGTCTTCTGACCGTCGAAAAATCGCCGACCAAATAATCAGCGACTATAAGATCGAAATCCCTTCCAGCGCGCCTGTCGGCGAAGACTCGACAGCGTCCAACCCCGCGTCGAACCTTACATCCATTCGGAATGCCCTCCTTCCCGATAACTCGTTGTCGGCACGCTTTACAACAACTGCAGGACCCCAGCTTCGAGAGGTACAGGGCACCGTATACGTGGGATCACATCCAGGAGGGGAGGAACGCATCCTGTGGTTCAAGCTCGAACACGGACCCGGGGCTGACGGCCGTCTCTACCCCACAGTCTATACCTTATGGAATAATCCCAACCTAGTACCCTTGCTATACACCCCGGAGATGGTCATGCGCAAACTGCACGGAGGGGCAGACCTGATGACCCCAGGTCTCGCGAACGAGCCGCCTTTCCCCAAGCGTGCGGTCGAGGGGGCGGTAGTTGCGGTCGCTAGCTTGGATCGACACACCGTGCCGCTTTTCGTTGGAGTGTGCGAGATTGATGTCTCGGCTTTAGGGGAGGTACAAGGCACTAAGGGTCATGCGGTTCGAGGTCTGCATTGGGAGGGCGATGAGTTATGGGCCTGGAGCTCCTCGTCGCGTCCCGGTCAACCCGCGCCGGAGTATCTGCCGGGCTGGGATGAGGAAGAGCTGGAAGGTGACGAGGAGGTAGATGAAATTGAAGAAAAGGTTGACGAGTTGACCCTGGACCAGGGCGAAAGCTCTCAAGCGGCGGGTAACCAAGAACCTGCTGAATCTGCAGAAGCACCGCTTGACGAACCAGCTCCTGTAGAGGAAAAGGAGCCGTCGACGAAAGGTAGGTCCTAATCAAGTCCCACTTCACCTTCTCAGATGGCTAATGTCGCACAGAAATTGATGAAGCCTTCACGAAGGCGTTTATCTACTCACTATATAAGCTTAAGCAGGACAACCCATCTGCTCCTAATCACGGGCTGTCCCTTCCCGTCCAACCCTCTTTCTTGATCTCGAATATGATTACACCCTACCTCCCGATCTTCTCCGCGCAGCAGGCCCAATACTACCAAATCAAGAAAACCAGTTGGAAGAATGTCAAGAAGTTTATCAAGTATCTTGATAAGCAACAACTTGTCAAGTCCAAGGATCGGAGTGGCCAAGAGACTATTATCCTAGATGTGGACTTCAATGACCGCCTCGTCGAGCAGTTTGTCCCGTACCGGCTTCCCTCCAAGTCTGCCCTTGAGAATGCTAAGAAGCCAACCGCATCTGCGAATAAGAAGCCCGAAGCCACGGGCGGTGACCCTGCTGTCGGCCAAACGCTCACAGTTCAGACACTGTATCGGCCCACGCAGAAGCTGACCCCGACAATATTCCCAGCATTGTCCAGCACAAACCCTCAGAATTACTACAAATACTCCGATGTGTCCAATCATCTCGATCAGTACCTCCAATCTCAAGACCCTCCCATCATCGACAAGCAGAACCGCCGTATCATCTCCCTCAACCCCTTCCTCGCCAACACCATCTTCACTACCTCTTCCTCCGAGGACAAGAGTACGATTGCACGGAGAAAGACGACCCGCGATGGACTTCTGAAACGCATCGTGGAAGACCACAGCCTGATGACCGCACACTACGCCATTCTCCGAGCTGGACAGACTCTAGCAGACGTGAAGCCCAAACCCGGCGCGGCCCCGACGGTAACGGTGACTCTGGAGCGCCGCACGGGCTCGAAGACCGTCACCAAGGTTTCAAACCTGGAGGTGTTCGGTATCATCCCCAGTCTGCTGGCCGAGGAGCTTCAGAAGAAGTGTGCCAGTAGCACGAGCGTAGCGCAGGCCAACGGCGCTCCGAAAGGCGTTATGGAGGTGCTTGTCCAGGGCGATCAGCGACGCGCATTGGAAACGGCCCTTGTGCGACGAGGTCTGAGGACGCAATGGATCGACGTGGTGGATAAGACCAAGAAGAAGAAATAGTTAGACATTTGTTATATTGACATGATTTCATGATAGCGATTGGAATAACAATCTACCATTTCTTCCACAGGATAACATATCCTACAATATAGTAAATAGTACCTTAAGCTCCGATCAAACAATTCATCCTAAAAATGAATGAAAATCAGATCAGATCAGATCCCATCCCCAAACCGGACTACCCGATCGGAGACACGCCGAGGAATGATTCATCCCCGGACATTCATTCCCCGACTCTTTCTCCCCTCATTACACCCATGTAAATAAAGCCAGCCATACCCCAACCTCACACATCTCCCCAAAACACTCACAACCCTCTCGAAACCCAACATCGTCCCTAAAACCAAAAGACAAGACAAGAAAAGAAAAGAAAAGAAAATAAAGAAGAAAGATGCCAGTCTACCACGTCGGTACGTCCCCCACCATCCAACAACGTCCATCCCTCATATCCCCCCCGAAAACCCCAACCCAGACCCAAACCCCCCAAACTACAGTACAGTACTAACAAAGGAAAATAAAAACATGAACAGTTCTCTTCCGTCTCAAACAAGGCGTCACACCCACCCAACTAGCAAACTGGACCAAAATCTCCTAAGCAATGGTCGGCCAGATCCCCGGTCTCCGATCCCTGAAGACTAACCCGCCGTTGCCGATCTCCGTGCCCCGCGCTAAGGGCTTCGATATGGGGCTTGTGGCCGTTTTGGATAAAAAGGAGGATGTTGCGGTTTATGCGGCGCATCCGGCGCATTTGGAGTATGTTCTCTCTCTCTCTCTCTCTCTCTCCCTTTGTCTCTTTTTGGGGTTGGTTTTGGGGTTGGAGGGTGGTTGAGTTTGGGTATGTAGGGACTGTGTTGACATTGAGTGTGGTATAGGGTTCATAAGTTGAGGGAGGAGTTGTGTGAGGATACCTTGGCTTATGATCTGGAGTTTGAGGAGTAAACCTCCCTTCCTATCTTTCTTCCTATTATTTTTTCTAGGACTGTTTCTGAAGATGGAAGGAATATGGAACTTTTGTTTGTCTTATGAACAGCAATAATAGACTTGACACAACGCCATTATAAGTCCCACGTCAGAATCCTTTTTTAAATTCCAAGTGCCAGCATGAAAGAAAAGAAAAAAAAAAGAAAATTGAAAGCCCAGCCAAGTCAGTATGATACTTGTGCTTTACATCCCGTCAATGTGAAACAATTCTCTATCGAAAAAAAAAACCACAGATCAGTCGCATATCATTACTCCTTTGCGTCGACCTTCTTGGCCGGGTGGTCGCCGTTGGCTTCATCCTCGCGGGCGCGCTTCTGGCCAGCGTCGGCAGTGCTTTGTACGACGGGGACACCACTAGGTTTGGTTAGTTGGTTGGTCCATTCTCGGTGGGGGAGTCATGGATGCTTACCGAGCGTCCTTCTGGATCTCACGAGGCTCCTTGGGCTCCGCCTTCTTGTCGCCGTTGAAACCGCGCTTCTGATCCTCGGCGCGACGCTCCCTCCAGTCACGGTTGTCGTTCTGGCGGCCACGGCCACGGCCCCGGAAACCACCCCGGCCACGCGGACGGTTACCGCTGGGCTTGATGCGGCCGGCCTCGATATCGCGCACCTTCTCGTCGCAGTACTCTCGCTTGCTCTTGATGTTCAGATCCTGGCCCTTCCACTGGGGCTTGGGTGCCAGAGCGAGGAATGCCTTCTGCTTCTCCTCGGACTCGAACTCAACGAAGACGCTGCCCTTGAAGGTCTTGTCGTTGGCACGACGAAGACGGATGGCGTTGACAGGGCCGTGGGGGGCGAAGAACTCCTCAATCTCCAGCTGGGTGGTGGGACCCTCCTCACCGAATCCCTTAGCGTAGATGCTGCGGTCCATAGCCTTATCCTCGAACACCTTCACAACGCTGGGGTCATGGGTCTCAGTGACACTTTCGGGAAGAGGAGTCTTGCGGCGGACGGCAGTCTCGTTATCGACCAAGTCCAGCACCTCGGAAGTCTTCAGCGCCTCAACAATCGCGCTGAAAGGCTGGAAGCGACGCATGCGCTTGAAAGAGTGCAGGAGTTCCAAAGGAACAGCGCGGTTCTGGCTACCACCGACCTTGGAGAGGAGGAACTTGTCCATGGGGAGGTTGGAGTCGGAGAAGTAGAACTCGACCTGCTTGCGGATCTCGACAGGGTCGTCGGTCTCCTTCTGAGACGAAGGGTCGAACTTGGCGTTGTTGCGACGGGGTCCACGACCGCGGTTCTCACGCTCCTTGTCCTCCTCAGCCTTCGCGGACTTCTCACCGAGCTGGGCAGCGGCCGCGACGATGCGGGCTTCCTCTGCGTCTTCGGTGGAGGGCTCCTCCTTCTTCTCGGCGCCGTTAGTCTCGGCTCCACCCTTCAATTCGGCCAGGACATTCTGGACATCCTTCTCGGCCTCGGTGTTGGCGACGTTCTGTTCGGCAGACATGGTGAATGTGTGATTTTGTCGTGCGACAAGGGAGATGAGGGGTCAACGGAGAAGAAAAAAAAGTGGTACAGATAAATGCGCGACTCCTAATTGTCAATTATTAGTTAGTGCAAATGTCGACACGCGTTTTCCAGATCAATGATACGGTCTATGGGAAAGTAGATAAAAGGCATTGAAAAGCAGAGCGCGGAGTCATCTCTACACGTGAGTGAATCCGTTCCTTTGGACAAGGACACTGACTCGAGATTCGCGCCAGAGCCATGCGGAGGACGCAGAATTAATTCAGCAGAAAGGGCAAATGTCCTACCTAGGATATACGCAAACAAATCTAGTGATTTGAGCGCAAAAACAGACCCTTAAAGAATGAGACACTTGCAAGCAAATATCGTTCTTATCTCCGATGTGAGAAAGAAAAAAAAAAGTAGTCGGAGCAATGCGCGGCGAAAGAGGGGAAATTTTCTGGAGCTTCAGCCACTGTCACTGCCTGAGGCATACAGAATAGGTTGGCGCTAGGCCGGACTTGGAAATCAGCTGAGACTAACCTGTTTAGGAAATATGAAAGCAAAGCCGCCTGGAGGCGCAGCCTATTCAAGATTTCTCTCACATCAGCTCTGCTGCTATTGAAGACACAGTCACGTGTGTTCTTACTGTATCCAGAGTCTTGCTTAATGATGTAATGCATTCTTATTAAAGTGCCATGATCCTCGTTGCGTAGCAGATATTCAATTCTGCTCTGAGGTTTAAAATACACTATATTGTATAGTGAGAAGACTTCGAAGTGCTTCCATAGTAAAAATAACGAGTTCCTGCTATGGGAACAAACATGTTCGCTACGTATATAGCATGTACATGGTGGGGATATGCGACCACCCCGAACTCAAAGGGCCATCAGTTGGAGAAAAACCAATTTCAGCAAGAGCCCCAAAAATAGGGAAGGCCTAGACTGTTTCCAATAGGTGGTGGAGCTAAAGTTCTGCACTGTCAGCTAGTAGTCTCTGGTACAGGTAGCACCAATGACAATGAGATAGTTGTTCAGATCCCGTGAATCATGAACCAAAGCATAGCTAAGCAGTTAGAAATGGAGGCCTATGCTCTGGGCAACTGCTGTTGAAAGGAGGATAATGGCAATTGTTCGTCACCATAATTCTCTGAATGGTGGATGCCGTTGTAGATCAGCTATTCTGCGCTGGGTAAGGTATGGCCAGTCCCGTCTCACCCTGCTTGAAGTGAGTGGGGTGACTCACATATGCAACTTAACAGTTCAGCGAAGCTGGAGAGATGGAAGCCCATTGGGGGCATTGGTAACTGATCTACTGTAAGTATCGTCCGGTGACTTTGGCCTTTCAGGGTTTTGGGCGTGTTATTGAACTTTAATCGTGGCCAGTTACATAAAACCTTTTGGACTAACGCCGGAGAAGATCCGCTCTACCGCCCTTTGTATGTATAATCTTTTTTTCCTATCCGAAGGATCACGTTCTGCTTTGTAAATTAAGAAAAAAAAGTAGCCATGATATTCTACATAGTACACAACTTTCAGTGTATGCTTTTAATTCTAATTGTATGGGAGAATGACATCGTGTATCCAGCAAGTCATTGTGAGCGCTCTTTCAAGGCATTACAATCATAGTTTCATAAGTGGCGAGCAGAGTGTGAAGGAATTGTACTCAACCGACATACACTCATAAATGTATGCGTCGAGAAGCAAAGGGAAAAAAAACAGTCAAAAGACGACGTTGTTGACACTGCATAGGGGGTATCAAGGGTTGTGAGAAAGAGATCCGCTACTGTGGATCAGGAATGTAAACGCAACCAAATTGTATGCTAAACCAGAATCATTCGTAAATACCAGATGCCATAACCGCTGTACTCCGTAATCGTTCGGTCGTTATCCGCATACCATAATCATGGGCAGATCAATTCTAATTTGGGTCTCACTGGACAGGGAAGAACCATAGCGCATGGAATGTATTCAATCCCCGTCGGGAATATTGTATATTCCGATGGTGATGATCACGTCTAGCGTGAACGTGGTAGGAGAAATCCTCGGTCTAGTTGGAACCCCGTCTCGCAGGGACCAGGATCGTGCTCAAGCGTTTCCACCGCTGTTGTGGCGACGATGGGCCCTCCCGATATATCCGGTCTTTATCGAGACCCGCTTTAGTCGACGATTGCGTGGAGGAACGGGGCCGGCTGGCGATAGCCTCTTGGTCCGCGAGGACATCTTCCAGCCGGACGTCGGCATCAGACATACGGAAATGAGAACTTTCGGGGTCAAGGATTTCAATAAATCTGGACGGCATGTCGCGCATGTTTATGACACGCGGGGATTAACTTTCGGGGGATCCTTGAGAAAGTAAAATCTGACAGCCCGTGATGGAATGCCGGTCACGGGATGGGAAGGCAGACCCGTGACTTCAACCGGTCACGAGGGGGGGAGAAAAGGTGGAAGAACGAGCGGAAAATTTTACGATGTCAACGAGGGAAGCCGTGAGAATTTAAACAGGAGAGATCATCGGCACCGGCGACGAGGCGTAAACGGAGACTACTTCCGTAGAAGTAGAGACTGGACCGAGGAAGTGAAGAAGGAACGGAGGGGTCGCATGTAGTAGTGAGACCAGGATCCAAGCGAATGTGTGTTAGCCGCGGCACTATTATGTGCTCAGGGGTTTCGAATAGAGTAGTGATATCCGAGATGCAGGGGGATTGGATGACTTCTGGGAATAACAAACATGACTATGAGGAATTTTTAGAGGGAAGAGGTCAACTCCCCCGGGGGGTTATGGCTGTATTTATCATGTCCACCCCTTTTGATGTTTCGGGTAACGACAGAGAGTTTAGGTCCCGGGAGAAGACGAACTTGCAGATTATTCGCCAAGGATTCCCTGAGTTTCCTTCCAGTATGGATCCTCCCCCAGTCATTGTGGTGGACGAGGCACCTTTGTGTGTGCGTGTGCGTGTGCGCAAGGGCAGATGCCACACCCGCGATATGCCCTCTGAAAAGATAAAAATGTCGATCGCTCTGATTGATGGAGATCCAAGAACGGAGTTCAAGGGAGGTTGGGCCCCGACGATGGTTTGTCGGTCACAAGCAAAAAGAAGTGGAGGTCTTGCGTGGGGTTTTTCTTTTTGGCTCTTTCAAGTCTTCTGCACTTCCATCTAAATTTCCCGATTCGGTAATGCTAGGGCCTTCGCATCCTCGGGATTGGATTATTATTCGGAGGTCCCAACCGTGAGAACCCCGAATTTCCTCCACACGCAGATCGTGGTTGGCTCCCGAGATACTAGCCAATAACTCTGACCGAGTTTAAAAAAAATCTTTCTCCACATCGAGAAGTTCACAGGCAGAAATGACGTCGGAGGGAAGATCGATGGATTTTTACTCCACTTACTTCAGTGGGTGTGTGAGATGTGAGCGATCTCACCGTCAAACTGCCATCGCGAGCTAAAATAAAATATGTTTACTCTGTATTCTCTCTCAACCACACTCTGCACCAGTGTCACGAGCACCGTTACCCCAAGTCTCTCTCATATGTCGCTGGCCATGAGGATGCAGGAATGCACTCCGCCAAATAGTGTCCTGCAAATGATGGTCCTTACTGCACAACCAATGTGATATCATAGCGTAAGGGTGCTGTACCTATGGGGTAAAATATGTGCCACAAAATGTTAGAGAGGTTATAAATAGAATGGAATTTAATATTTCGGAGTGGCTGCCATGACGTCATGCCACCACATCACATTCGTACCACTCTCCACCTTCAACACCCATACATCGCTCTGCCTGACCATACACTATCTGTTAAATTAAGTCAACATGCCTCCGAAACGCGTAAGGAGAACGGCTTCCACGACTCAGAAACCACCCTCCCCTCCACTCTCCGAAAAGAACGCCCCAGTGGCGGATGAGGATGCTGGAATTGGGGCATCAGAGGCCCAGGAGAGAGGCTTGATGGGTAGCCTACGAAGCCCTCGCCACGATGAAGACGTTGAGCCACCCGTGATCCTTGACGAAGATGAAGAGATGTCGGAAGAATCGGGAAATACCGTCCAACATGGAAGACCGGAATATGCTGTAGGGGCGGGAGGATATAACATGCTCAAATCCTACAAAGGACAGGTCTACTCGGGCATGGCAGTGGGAGGATCTCATACTTGGAATTATGACCAAGGCGTGTGGAAGGAAACGAAGGAGGAACCAGATCTATGGCGGGTCGATTATCAGACCAATAAGAGACGAGCGAGGAAGGCACCGGAGGGTAGCGGTGCTCCTGTCGGCACGGAGTATCACTGGCTCATTGTAGCACACCAGGTACGTTCGTCCTTTTTTTTTGACCTAGAAACCAATAGCAGAACCTGAGCCAAGAGTGCCTATCTCACTGTTCTTAGTTTGTCAAAAAGATTGATGCCAACACATATGAGACAAACCTTACTGGGTCCAAGTATAAGTTGGCGTACAAGTCCGCCTCGTCTAACTCATGGTCCGTTCCAACTGTCAAGAAACAACGTGACCGAGAAGTCGAGCTTCTAGAGGATGCCAAGCAGCGTGTTCAAGGCCTGCCTCCAGTACTGGCATCAGAGAAAGTAAAGGTAGAGAAACACGAGAAAGGACAGCAGAAGTTGGATAGTATGTTCACCAAAGCCACAAGTGGCGTTAGCAAGAAAAGGAAGCTAGGTGAGGATAGTGGAGGATGAGTTGACTTCGAGTGGTTTACCATACACCTGACTGTAGCCGTAAATTGTATACTATGTCTCCGAAGTGGTTGCTGATGGACAATTACTATTTCTTCAGCCCTACTCACTTATTAGGCTGATTTACTTCCGAGATTTTATCACTCGTAAGTGCTAGTTATGAGTATCTATAGCCGGTAGCATGAATCTTTCGTGTTGTTCTACCCGGTGTGACCCATGTCAGCTACTTGTTGAGTAAACACATCATGAGCAATGCGATACATCTGATACCATTCGAGAATTGCTGACTACATATAAATAGTCAAGCCTATCGACCTATACCCAACTATACGTATCAAGGCACCAGCAGAAACTCTGAATCTATACTGTCTCACGTGCTAGTCCAATGACTTTCGCGTGTAGCTTCAGACAAGGGCATCATTTGTATCGTACTACAGCCTGAAACAGCGTGATTTACGGCTGACGGGGAGCCGCGTATAGTTCCCCGTTTAGCCACAAAATTGCCAGAAACAATATCTTGTCAGGTATTTCATCGGTTGCTCCAGCAGTCGCCGACCTACTAACTTCACCATTGCTATATCAGTTAACACCGTGATCCTGCCCTTGTCTGCAGATCCTACCGATATGGTATCCGTGCCCTCGTAGTATTACATCTCCAGTGACCGAGTCTGTGGGATTTGGAAGTCATAACCTCAATTCGATCCTTCTAGTATATCTTTCGTATTAATATCTTCTGTTCTGCATCTCAAAACAGCACAACAACATGGTCCATAAACCAGCTGCCACATAACCAGAAAGGGAAGCGAGTTGCTGTCACAACTTGGAAGACCATTGTGGCATTCTTCCACAATGTCTCGACTATATTGAAGGTTCTATCTTCGAAAAGACACCGAATCTTTCTGCGCTTTTGCGCCATCTTACTAGTGACATGGGATTGGCTTGTGTCCATAACAAGTCAGGCCAGTGAGAAAGGGTGCTCTCAGTTAACCGTTGAGTAATCCAGAAGATTTGGAAATGGTCCTAAAAAAGGCCTAAACCCTTCAACACTCCACTCAAGTGTTCTTTCATGGTATAGAATTGGCGCAGTGGCCCCATGCCAAACATAGTAGGCTTGTGAGATTTTTTTTCTCAATTCTCTTGTAGCATTTGTACCTGGGAAAGTGAAAGGGTAAGGGATCAGCTCATGCAATGCTTGATCCAAGACTCAAAGAGGTAATATGATGAATTCATGGATTGGCGGCATATGTACACCATGGGAATCTACGGACTTCTTGATATTCAGAAGTCTATGAAGAAGAAATTGAGCATAAAGAACGAGAAGGATCAACGATCCACCTTGAAACCAGGCCAGCGGCTTGAGAAAGCCACGACATTTCTACGTACTATACATTGTCCAGCTGCGGGAAACTTAATATCATTCCGCCAGGCAATATACCAATCGAAGCATAGAGGCTCACCCGTTTAACTCAGTGAAAGAAAAAGCCTCGCTAGCACCAAAATACGAATATCGTTCGTCAGGAAAACATATCGGCTTAGGATCTCCCTAGTCCTGGGACCCAGTAGTCCCAAACACAGACTCCCTCTTCGAATGCAACGTATTCGTTGGCGAACAATACTATTAAACTCGTTGTTAGAGGTCATGACTCTAAGCTGGTGTATAGTATGAATGCTTACACCTCGGATATCAGTGAGATCAGGACCACCATGTCTCGCGAAGAGTTTCAAGTTGTGATCATCCGTAGTAAAGATTGGAAATTGTGGGGTTGTTGATGGATTTGAAGACGGAGATCCAGGCACTTGTTTGAGTTTCTTGAGGGCTCGTTGCGTGACGTTCTTGGAGGGGACCTCTGGCCATAAGTTGGTCGCTGGTCTTTTGAGCATACTGGACGATCTTGAAGATAGTTCGGTATCCATGGATTTGAATGCTGTTCTTGTAGGGAAAGTGTCGCATGAGAAATATGTTGGCATAATATGAGAAATACCGATCGATGGGAGCCGTGTGGCGCTTTAAGACATCATAGATAACAAAGGATAGGGGCTCAATCGGATCTCACGTCCTTTCGTCTGGATTGACGGCTTTGGATTGATTGTGCCTTTCCATCCATTGGGCTTTTGTACAGGCAATTAGACAAGGAACTGTCTCAAAGGAGGCGTGCCGATGTGATGGTTTTCAACATGATTATGCCGGCACTTAGAGGAGTCATGTTTTAACTGGAATACCGAAATGACTCAGCATTAAGCAAGTGTTGGGCGATGGCATAAGAGACTAAACCTGTAGAGGCTATCATTGAAGTTATATTGTCGTTGGACTTTGTGGATCCTAATACCAGGCCATGTGAGCACTACGGCGTTTTATTCAGTCGTCCTTTTCTGTCAGACTGCTCTTTATCAGAAAATTCTGATAGTTCTGAGCATTGTCTTACAGTGGGAAAAGTATCAAGCGACAGGCGTCTTGGGCCACAATTCATTTTAGGGCTTGGATGTATCCTGCGTTCCTATCCTGCTGGCGTTGTTCCACATATTTAATACCGTGTAAAGAAGACTGTGTCCTGAAGCAACCGAGGGCATGAGACATAAAGGTTCAAGCTAGGTTTGGACATATCTGAACAAAGGATCATCGGAGAAGGGATTCACCCTACGAGGAGGACTGCTCACTATACAGTAGAAAGGGAAGCTACAGAATCCTAGCCATCCGAAGTCCAACTAAACCACTCATCAAGTCACAAATCCACTCCGTCTCGATTGAATCCCTGCCATCCCTCCTCCCTCTTCCTGTCCCCCTTATTTCCTCCCCTTAGTCTAGGTAACCCCCTAATAATCTTCCCTTTTCTACCCAGAGAACCAACAATCAGCAAACCCCACATAGATAAATATCCCCCCTGACCCACAAATCCGCATGAATCATGAAAGTGCCAGAAGCAAGTATTTTAGTCCAAATACCCAGTCAGCCCATATTCCAAGAACCCCACCTATGGAGACCCTCCTGACTAATCTTTAGCCGATATTACTCCAAGCAGAAATTGCGACAGGCTTCTAGACTCGTGCCTTGGAATTATCTGATCATGCGCCGTGGAGAAAGCTGATTTAACGCCGTTAGGCCATCTACTAATGCAGTCCGGTGGGGCCGTCTTGTAGGCTAAGTTTTGTGAATAAAATTTTCTGTAAAGTAACATGAGGCTCTCTGACGGCCAAGGTCCGTGTTTGCCATGTCGTACCTAGCGTAATAATGCTTGGTTGGACCTAGGGGGTTGAGCGGAACTTACGGTATACGTACACGTACTCATAGTCTCACTCTGTAGTGAGCCAGAAAAGATACGATGGACGGGGCGTAGAGGTTGCCTTATGGGGGATGGGAAGGGGGGGTCAGTTTGAAGTGAGACAGGCGGCTATTCTAGGTGAACATGGATCGGGGATGCCGACAGGCTTTAGTATAGGCGGAAAAAAAGGCCGTCTGAGAAATAGACACGATGATAGATGGGGTACTGGATTCGTATCTGCAAGGATGAATGTCTGCTCCGATCTGTCCCGGTTGGTACGGCCAAGATTTAAGTTGAATATCAGCATGTATTATGACCAGGCTTTTTGTGGTGGCTCAGCCATACTTGTGACTATGCCCCGATTCGGTATTTTGCAGCCCTCATCGATGATCTGCTCTGTTTTAGGAAGCTGGTAAACGGATTCGAAGTCTTTTCTTTCGGACTATCGGCTGCTATCTCCGTTTCTCACGGCAACTTCGCTGAGCTAGAGAGGGTGGAGTGGTAATTCGACTTTGGCGGGCTAAATGTGGCAGTTTTGGGGAAAGCCATGTAGTACTGTTCCTCGTTCGTGGAACGGGCCACTAATATACTAGTTACTAGGTAGTGCTACTAGGGCTTGCAAGCGTTTTCAGTTAGCTAGTGGGAATTTTCTTACACGATACCGGGGCGATTGACGAGAAGGGCACATGCCGGCTGGCTGTGGGTTGCTGACATCGGAATTGACGGTGGTGGTTTAGGTGAATAGGCTAGTGATCATAGTAGAAAAAGTTCAACTATAAAGAAGCTGAAGGATGCGATGTAGATCTTGATGCGCATGAATAACTCTATTTTGTCTGGGTTGGAGACTATGATCGAGTTGAATAAGAATGGGAGGCATAGCGCGAGTATTTGCTCAAAAGATTTAATGCACGGGGATTCTTGTATGTCTTCTCCGGACGATTCCACTAAGCGAAATGATCATGACTTCAAATTACGATTGTTCTATGTTATGGTGATCATGTTCCACAGACATCATAGATTTTGATATTAAAAGGGTATCGTAAAATCATTATAAAAAGGTGAGACCCGAACTCCGAAGACTATATCTATATGCAAGCAAGCGCCAACCAATGCAGGAACCAAAAGCGTATGTAATCAAACAGCGATAGGTTTGCGGTGCATGTCATCGGTCCACTTCTCAGGCAAATAACCGTGCTCCAATAGTCGAGCCATGCGCTCCTTGACATGCTTCCCGGCGACCACTGCCTTGAACTTCTGCGTCCACTCTGGGGTAACACATTCCTTCAGAGGCTCGACGACTGCGTCGCGGTTGGGGTGGCCAAACCAGGCAATGGCATATCTGGAAGGGATGACATTGGTTGTACCATTTGCAGTTTCCCGGGTTTCAGCTGGAGGCTGGACGACCCGGTGCTGAGTGGATTTTAATTGCCCGTTGAACCAGCGAGAGAGAAGGTCACCCACTATATCTCCTATTAGTGTCTCGAACGTGGAGCAGATGAGAAAAGGGTAGTAACTTACCATTCACGATGGCATGACCGCGCATAGGAGGCGCATCGACCCATTGTCCTTCCTTGTTCTTCACTTGCAAGCCGCCATTGCTATCATTGAACAGCAGGGTCAGGGTGCCGAAGTCCGTATGCGGTGCAGAGCGCACGCGAGTATCAAAGCTCTCCAGTGAAGTCTCATAGTAGTGTAGCAAGGCACTGTAGCAGTCCTTGGCCTTGACGGAAGGGATGAGAGACTCGCGGTCCAGGCCGACTTTCTCCGTCAATGCGCGCAGCAGCTCAAGATGCATTTTGTAGCATTCCTCGTAGAAGGTTGTGAAGTCGCGGCGGAACTCAGGCCAGTTGGTCGGCCAGCGATTCGGCCGTGTTTCGTCCTTATCATTTCCCAAGCCGAATGCTTCCTTCTGGTCGGCTTTCTCGGGGTTCTTAGCTGTACGGGCGGGAGCGAACCAGCCGCGGAAGGCTTGTTTTTCGCCGCCTTCAATAGCTAGCTTCTGTTCCTCAGGGAGGGAGAAGAGCTTGTGGATATGAGAGAAGAGGGTGTCGATAAACTCTGGCGGAAAGTTGAAGCCCTTGAGGTAGATGAAGCCGACGTCTTTGAACGATTGGAACAGCTTGTCTTTCTCTTGGGCTGCGACCATAGGGTTGGAGGAGACGATGCGAGAATAGTCGATGACGGGGAATATCGGAGTAGACATTGTGAATGATAGATGATGTTAACCTGGACGGTGATTGAGGTGGTAGAAAGTATGGTGGCTTTTGTTGTTTCTCTAATTCTTGTGGTTATGATTGTCACTCTAGTTGTGATACTCTTGCTGTTGATGATATTTACATACTTCAAGACATTGAATGTGTTTATAACTATTCATGAGGTTGTATGCGACGTCCATTTCCCTCCTGATGTCCATCATCAAACACTCTACTCCGTGAACGCTCGTACGGACATCCGAGTTGTTGCCTATACTCTCCGGCCATGATGGATACGCAGAGGTTGATGAACACGGCACGGACTATCCACGCCGCGCCGAAATCTTATGATATTGAAGCCCTAACAGTAAGGTGACAGCCATGCGGAATAAACTTCAATTAGCTCTGATCCAACACTGTGGATAAGGACGCTCGGGGCACATGGACGCATGGTTCTCCTGCCATGTCCACATTTGTCCGACTTGGAAATTGGTTGACAACCGGGCAAGGGCTCATCCTTTACGGCACGAGTTGCAGTCTGAGCGTTTTACGGAATGGTTTGGTATTCTTTGCAACTTGTAATATTCCAAGAATATGATGATCGGTGCTAATTGAGTTACCACTACCTAATCACTCGGAGAATAGTGTTGATTGATACCACTTCACGACCGCGAGACAACGTGCACCATACGAGGTTGTCATGAAGCTATGGGGAATAGTCAATAGTTTGTAGAATCAGACATAGATACCACTACAGATTTGGATAGTGTCGCAACCGAAAAAAAAAAAAAGCAAACAATGATTTTCATAGTATGCCTCTGCTATGATCTTCCATCGTGGTGCACATTGACCACAAGACAACATACCTCCGAGAGCACAGATCCCCCACATACATCCCCCCTCCGCCGAAGATTCTCGGCACAGGTTCGCTCAAGCCTCAACGGCGACACTTGGCTCCATAGGCTAAGGGATTGATGAAACAAGCGCCGGATAAGTTAAGTCTTATTCAGAGGTGGATGCTCTCCCCGAGAAAAAATGCAGCTATTCACGAACCAAAGTATACCGAACATAACACGTAGTATGTACATTTCTCATCATTCTATAGACCATCTATGTACACATAGGCCGTAGTATTTAGACCACATATACCAACTCGGGATTCTCACGATCAGTCAAGTCTTTGAATTCTGACTTTTCTGGTTTTTCATAACCAGGCGCAGATCGAACCCTCGCTTTTTCGGCGTTTCGTTTACAATATAGATATCTAATCAACAAAAGATCAAGCAAACATGCTCCCCAGCAGCAACAGATGCCAATTTCAGCTGGGATATACCGCGGTGCGTCGCTTTGCTGGAAGGTCTGAGGGCCTATGTCCTGTGTTAATATATCGCTACACACGACATTCTTGGTGGGGGCATTCTGACCTATGATGTTTCCAACGCAATAGGCGACCATATAAATGGCTCCTACGGTAGTTTTCTTGGTTGCACCAGCTACATTTGTGGAAATGAAAGATAGTAACGCAATAAATGCAGTCGGGCTGGCTTGCGTGAGAAAGTATGCGGCTAACCGACCGGGGCTGTTACTCAAGGGTAACGCGGCCAGGAGAATGGCGCCCAAAATGCCAATGACCATGCCAACAAAACTAACATAGATGCGTTGTTGTAAGCGGTCGCTGATAATTCCATTCAAAATGACCACAATCGTCTGGAAAGCCCCACCCGGAGTGGCGTAGAGCAAACTCTGCTGTGAGGTATATCCAGAGTTGCGGATGATCTGTGAGAAGAACGTTGTGATACCCCCAAAGGGGATATTCACGGCAATACCGAAGAATGCAAACGCCCAGGTTATGGGGTCCGTCAGCGCCTCTTTGAACTGGTACATTT